CGGCACTGTGAAAGAGATTGAGTAAGTCTTATGATCTTTATTTTTTACTTCAAATATGATTACTTGTGAATAAGTGATGATTTTGAATTTAAGTATACCTTATATAAATATTGATAAGGTGTAACAACCCTAAAAATGGATAAGACAATAAATGCTTATTGTGTCAAGAATGCATATGATTAGACCAGGGTTCACCTGGATTAATAAGCGTAAACCAGACCTCGGAACCCTTGCTACATCCAATACAACTAACTTGGGGATTTATTTGAGCTTGGAAAGGTTGGGTACAACCATGTAGGGCTCTCGAATATGAAGATTTACTTGAAGGAGTCTTTACCGGACTTAAAAAGGGAAAATCTGAGGTTTGGAGGGTTTAGGGGTAAAATGGTCTTTTTTGAGGTTAAGGGTAGTATCATATATACTAAATATACAAAAAAAAATTATTTAATTGATAAGGTGGAGGGGTATTTTGGAAAGATAAGGCCGAAATTGGGCTCTTGAAGTGAAATCTTGCTCCACCCGGGTTCGAACCTTGGTGGAAGCACTGAATTAAAGAGATTTTTTATTTAAGCTATTGAATTAATGTAATTAATTAATAATTATTATCCGTTATATGATTTAAAATAAAATGAAAATCAGATTTTTATTAAATAAACAAAACCTTATTGACTAAGTCCTAAAACTAGACTCCTAAGCCTCCTACAACTCCCACTCTCTCACGTTTATCTCTCTACTCTCATGGTCAATCTCTCTTATTCTTCCTCACGTTTTTTCTCTTCCAAAATATTATACAAAATCATAAAAATAAACCAAGTTATTCACCCTTGAAGAACTCACACGAAATCACAAGAAAACAAAAGTTTATCGTACACTAGGCTAAGTGACGTTGTCATTCAATTGGAGTTGATATTCAGGAGGCTTAGAGGTGTTCTTGGGTGAAGCTTTTGTGCAGAAAGTCAAGATTTTAACGTCAAAATGGTATGGGTTTTCTTACTCTTGGTTTCTTTCCCAAGAGACCCTTAACGCTCATATGAATCTACTTGAAAACTAGAGTTGTTCCCATTCTTGCCGAAATCCTTGTTCCTAGTATTCCTTTGATATGAATATGAGATAGGTTAGATATACTATTGTCGGTATGATACCAATTCCATATTGACACATAGTCATACGTAAGTAAATATTTAATGAATGCTGCCAAAATATTTAATGAATGCTGCCTCTAAAGATTGAAATCAATATCTTGTCATATCTACAAGATGGATAAGTCTTGTACCACATAATCTTGAGTAAATATGAATAACTTAGACAATCTATGAACGAAGCCCTATGGCTAGTATGTATAGACTCATAAGTCTAGCTTACGGTTAAAAGTAAGTGAACCTAAGATGTATGTGATGAAATAATGTAACCCTAAAAGGATTAAGTAAGAGTGTGAAACACACTAAATGTCCAAGTTCATTGGCGTATGATGAAATGAACAATAAAGTGATTAAATGAATAAAGAAATGATGAAATGAACAATGAAATGATGAAACCCTTGAAGGGTTAAGAAAGAATGCGAAACGCACTAAATGGCCAAGTGCATTGGCATATGATGAAATGAACATTCACGTAAAATTGGGTGAGTAATTATGAAGAGCAAATTTGCTAATGTTAATGAATGTGGTGACAACATGATATGAGGCTAATGTAAAAGATGAGAGCAATCTCAAATGAGCCTAAGTAAATGTTATCAAAACGTACTCACCTATGAGAGTATAAAGTTAATGAAGAGACCGGTCTCTATGAACACTCTAATCAAAGTATTGAGATTAACACACTTAATACTTATGAAGAGATGACAAATCATCAATTGAGCTATGATTGTCCTCATACTAGAAGCCAGCTTTCATGACGTATGAGTTAAATGTAATGAAACTTCATATTGAGCACCGATAGAACGTCATATTCTGCACCGATAGACTATCTATGAGCGGTGATACCTTCTTTCAGGAAGGGTGGAGGTTCACTTAACTCTCATGAGATGAGACTGTCCGGCATGCCGGGTATAGGTTTCCTTATATCTCCTAGTCTTGAACCTATACTGCCATTATAGGGATCTGGTGGGGTTCAATTCCCATTTACGCTAGCATGTTTTGGGTCACTTTGGCCAGTGATTCCACCTCTTTTCGATGTGAGGTTTCATGATACTGGATGTCATGATGCTCACACGATCTATGTCAGTTAAAGTTAAAGTTCCCCATGAATGAATGAGGCCAGCCTCAAATGATGCACATAATGAAATGAATGATACAAAAGGTGTTAGGATAGGATTATAAAGAGGTGATATAGACTTAAGTAATGACACAAGATCATTCTTGATCATTGCACAGCGAACCCGATGAAAGTCTTAAACTACATCCTAGGTATAGCTAGTGTTTACACTAGCCTATGAATGAAATGAAATGAAGTACGTATGAATGAATGAAGCAGACTATGTGTCTGCTAAAGAATGCTCCCTGGTTGAGGTCCTATATGTTGAGCCCTCATTTTTGGGAAATCTTTATGTCATGTCCATGATTCCAAGGTCTCATGGCATATGAACGAATGATATGAAAAATGTTATGTGTTATGTTTATGATGTTATTTGTTGTGTGCAATATGATATGTATGATGATGCATGTTACTCTCATGGCATGACTTTGATAATCCGAATTAATAAAGTTCACTCACTTTCCTAATCCATATTTTGAAAGCTCACTAACTTTCCTAATCCCAATTCGGCAAGTCCACTAATTTGACTTTCAATAATAATGTTGTTAGAAAAGAGCTGTTCTTAATCATGCATGTCCTTGGTGTGTGCTTGAATATACCCATACTTAGTACAATTGTGTACTAATCCCATACAACTCTACAATTTTAGGTGGTGGCACAAGTGGACGCTAGAGCTACAAGTTGACGCTGAAACTATCCAGACTTGGTGCATTCATCCGGAGTTGGTAGGCTCTCATGCTTTCGAGGATGCTTGACCATCATATTCTAGCTTAGTAATAGGATTGAGGTAGTGGAGTATGTTCCACTAGCGTTTCTTTCCGCTTTTCTTCAGACATTATATTGGTGCCATTTTGGCAAGTATATATTTAATTCTATATTAAACTATTTCTTTCATTTGATGATCTTAATGTTATATGGTTCATGGTGGAAAATTATGAATCTAATAGAATGATTAGTATGTATTTTAAGAAACAAAAAGTTTCAAATTTTCCGCTAAATTAACCTAGACGAAGTAAGAATGAGGTAAGTAGGCTTGTCTACGACCACTGAGAGGTCAACGACGTCGGTCTCGTTTGGGCTCTAGACTCCGGTCGTGACATAGGGTTGGTATGATAGTTAATTTAAATGTCTTGAACCATGGATTTTGATTTGTTGGCTAAGATGTAAATGTTATAAGGATGGTGATAACATACCAATGTGCCTTATTATGATGTGACTATATAAATGTTCTAACTTCACATGTATGAATTGTAATGGAAGGAAAACACTCATGCAATTCTTATTGAGCTATGATGATGATGATTATATAAGGTATAGACCCTATGACCTACATAAGATATGATGATTAATAAATGTATTCAAGACATTTCAAAAGGGACTCTAGCTTAGCACCGAGTGAACTAAAGTGGGGAGTGTCCCTTCCGGCATAGGGAAAGTGGGATCACTAATGTACTCATGATATTGGAGACTATAATGAATGTATCATAAAGAGGGTCCCAACTATATCTCCTAGTTCTTGAACTATGTTGCCTCCGTAGGAATATTAGCTAGTGGATCCACCTAGATGTTATGTTCATGTTTTGGTACTACTTTGGCAAGTAATCCGCCTTCCTTCGGTGAAGAGTTTCATGAAATGAGATTCCAAATTAGCTCATGTGGCCTATGTCGGTTAAGGCAAGACGTTCCCAATAGGTAAAATGAACTAAAGGAATGATCTCTAACTAGGATAACCTAAGGGGTTTAGCTTAGTCTAGGTAGGGGTATGGGACTTTACCTATAGATTGCACTAGTTAGCCTTGAGGGAAATCTTAGAAGAACGTTCTTATATATGTAAATGTTTTTAAATGTAAATGTTATATGTATGATGATCTTACTTGTTGATGATACTATATGATGATTGGTTTCCCTTATGTACATGTGTTTGGTCTCTATTGTTAAAGTATGATGATATGTACTCTTAATGGTATGTTATGTGAAGTTGGACATTCTTTATGGTTCTTGTTGTGTTTACTTGATTGAGTAAGGTTATGGGGATTTTCTTAGTCATTGTACTTGTGTACTTAATGAGGGTCATGAGTAGTGGTGTCGTAACAACCCTAAAAATGGATATGCTAAGTAATGCTTAATGTGTCTAGAATGCCTAAGATTAGACCGGGTTCACATAAATTGATGCAAATAGAACTATACCTCTAAACCCTTTCAAATTCCAAGCCATATAACTTGGGAAGTTAGTGGAGCTAGGAAAGGTTGGGTCCAGCCATGTAGGGCTCCCGAATATGAAGATTTACTCGGATGAGTCTTTACCGGACTTAACAAAGGAAAACCTTAAGTTTGGAGGGTCTAGGGGTGAAATGATCTTTTTCCAGGATAAGGGTAGTATCATAATTACCCTAAATATGTAATTATTTATTTAATCAATAAGGTGGAGGGGCATTTTGGGTAGAGAGGGCCGAAATTGCCCTTTAAGCAAAATCTTGCTCCATCCGGATTCGAACCTAGGTGGGAGCAATAATTTAATTTGCTTTATTTAAATTGGTAGATTAATCTAATAAATTAATAATTAATGTATGAATTTTAAAAAAAAGGGAAAATCAGATTTTATTTATTTATTATTTATTATTAATTATTAATTAATTTTACTAAGTCTTGCCAACAAGTCCTGTTTCTTAGGGGACTCTACCTCACACTTCTCTCAACTTCACGTTTTCTCTCTTTACAAAACATAAAACAAAACAAAAGTTCTTCACACATGAAGAACTTAAAAAAATACAAAGGAACAAGCTAATCTAATTATTGAAAAGTTAACGAAATTTCTAGTCGGGTAAGGTCTGAGATTTGTTGGTGGACGTGAATTGGTGGAGGGTCTTTGGGCAGAAATTCCAAGGTTTGAACATCAAAATAAGTTATGGGTTTTCTTAATCTTTGTCCCTTTCCCAAGAGACCCTTAGGACTCAGATGAATCTATTTCAAAAACTAGGGTTGTTACCCGTTGCATGTCCCTGTCACTAGCTCCCATCGATTTGTAGGTTGGGTATGTCTGTTGGTAGAAATTAGGGATGTAATGTGTTTTTATGTTGATTACGTTCATGTATGTATGTTCGGAGTTATGTTAATGTTAAGCATGTTGTCCGAAATTATGTTTTTATGTGTGTGCAATGTGTAGCCATGACATATACTCTTCATTTGAAGTTCAAAAATGACATGTTATGGTTGTATTTTTACATGCACAAACTTGTATAAATCGTGATGTTCATATGAAGTATAATGTGGCTGATGTGAATGGAAATTATAAGCTAAATGAATCCATGAAAATGCACCTAAAGATGTATTAAATGATCCATGAATTACCCTAAAAACTAACATGTAAACGCTGCTGAAAATGAGCTGAAAAACGTAAAAAAAATCCAACATCTTGTTGATGAGTTTCAGTCAAGCTAAGTGGTGTATCATGCTATGTAAAATGAATTAAGATTTAGTGAGGTCACTGAGAATCGAACCCGTAACTTCACCATGTTAAATCATAGAAATAAAGTGATAGAAAAAAGAATGTGGCATGTGGGATTCGAACTCGTGTGCCTAGACGAAAACATGAAAAAGATAATGAAAAATAAAAATGAGAGGTGTGGGGTTTGGACCCAAAACCTCTCAGTCAGACTTAAGGAAGAATTTAAAAGAAAAATAAAAGTTGATGCATATGGGTATCGAACCCACAACATCTCGGCTGAATAAAGGAAATTAAGTAGAAAAATAAAGTGGGGTTGTGGGGGTTCAATCCCACACCCTCTCTTTCAAATGAAAATGGTTTAAGGAAAAAGAGAATAAATAAAATGAGGTTGTGGGGGTTCGATCCCACATCCTCTTGGTCCTAAACCAATGAAAAATAAATAAATTAAGGGAAAATGAAGAGAAGGCGTTGGGGCTCGACCTTGGGTCCTCAAGCCGAGTGGATCAAACTAAAATGAATACAAAATGTAAGTGTTGTCCAAGGGATTCGAAATCGGGTTCCCTTGCCCGAATTCCGTGTTGACACATGTGTCATAAGTAAGTAAATATTTAATGAATGTTGCCTCTAAAGATCGAATCAATATCTTGGCATATCTACAAGATGCATAAGTCTTGTACCACATAATATTGGGTAAACATGAATCGCTTAAACAAACTATGAATGAACCCTCATGGCTTGTATGTCTGGACTCATAAGTCTAACATACGTTTAAAAGTAAGTGAGCCTATGATGTATGTGATAAAATGATGTAACCCAAGAAGGGTTAAGTAAGAGTGTAAAACACACAACTAGCTAAGTGCATTGGCATATGACGAAATGAACATTAACGTAAAAAGGGATGAGTAATTATGAAGAGAAAATGTGCTAATGTTAATGAATGTGGTGACATTATGATAAGAGGATACTATGAAAGATGAGAGCAATCTCAAATGATCGTAAGTAAATGTTACCAAAACATACTCACCTATGAGAGTGTAAAGTTAATGAAGAGACCAAGCTCAAAGAACACTCTAATGAAAGTATTGAGGATAATGTATACTTAATACTAATTATGAGATGAGAAATCATATATTAAGCTATGATGTCCTCATACTAGAAGCCATCTTCCATGACGTATGAGTTGAATGTAATGGAACTTTATACTGAGCACCGACAGGCTAGATATGAGCGGTGATGCCTTCTTTCGGGAAGGGAGGAGGTTCACGTAACTCTCATGAGATGAGACTCTCCGTCATGCCGGGTATGGATCTCTTTATATCTCCTAGTCTTGGAACCTATACTGCCAATATAAGGATCTGGCGGGGTTTAATTCCCATGTATGCTAGAAAGTTTTGGGTCACTTTAACAGGTGATTCCACCTCTTTTCGGTGTGGGGGATACACTGGATTTCATCATGCTCACATGATTTATGTCGGTTAAAGTTAAAGTTCCCAATGAATGATGAGGTCAGCCTCAAATGATGCACATAATGAAATGAATGATACCAAAGATGTTAGGATAGGATAATCAAGAGTTGAGATAGACCTAAGTAATGACACTAGGTCATTCTTTATCATTGCATAGCGAACCCAATAAAAGTCTTAAACTACATCCTAGGTATAGCTGGTGTTCACACTAGCCTATGAATGAAATAAAGTGAAGTACGTATGAATAAATGAAGCAGACTCTGTGTTTTCTAAAGAAGGATCCCTAGTTAATGGCCCATATGTTGAGCCCTTATTTTGGGAAGTCTTAATGTCAAGTCCATGTTTACAAGGTCTTATGGTATATGAATAAATGATATGAAGGATGTTATGTTCTATATGCAAAACGATATTTGCTATGTGTATGATATGTGTTGTGTGCAGTATGATAAGTATGATGATGTATGTTACTCTCACGTCATGTCTTTCCTAATCCAAATGTGGCAAGTACACTGACTTGACTTTCCATAAACCATGTTGTTAGGAAAGAGCTATTCTTACTCATGCATGTCCTTGGTGTGTGCTTTAATATACCCATACTTAGTATATGTGTGTACTTTTCCCATACAACTCCTTACTTTTAGGTGCAGGTGCAGGTGAACGCTAGAGCATTACGAGACTATGCTGAAGTTATCCAGATGTGGAGAATTCATCCGGACTTGGTAGGACCTCTTACTTTTGAGAATGCCTATCTTTTATATTCTAGCTTAGATGTAGGCATGAGCTAGTGGAGGATGTTCCACTAGCGTTTCTTTCTCATCTTATTTCAGACATTGTATTGGTGCCATTTTGGCAAGTATACACTTAATGTAGTATGGAACTATTTCTTTCATTTGATGATCTTAATATTAGATGATTGATTGTGAACATTTTATGAGTTTAAGTAGAATGACATACATGAATGTTAAATAACAAAAATTTTAAATTTTCTGCTAAAATTAACCTACATGAAGTAATGATGACGTATGTAGGCTTGTTTGCAACCTCTGAGAGGTCAACGACGCCAGTCTCGTCTGGGGTCTAGATTTCAAACATGACAAGTATTGCTTTGGTTGTGATGTTATGAACTCTTATACATGCTTGTTGATGATATGACTTGATGATAGGGTTTACTTGATTATGTGTTCTATTATTTTGATATGCATGTTGACTTGACTAGACTTAGTATTGTTGGTCTTGTGATATACATGGTATTGACTTAATAATACATCTTATTTATTAGTATGGTTTCTTGAATGTGCATAAGGTTTTTCAAAGTAAATTCCATACTTTAATTAAATGTCCCTTTTTAACATGATTTTATGTTGTGTGCGCATATGGTCTCATACTTAGTACAAGTGATGTGCTAATCCCATTTTCTCCGTTTTCCCCAATATTTTTGGTTCCTGTCGTTGAAGGGCTTGTGATGACTTTTGAAGAAAGACTTGGATTCTCATTCTCCAAGTTGGGTAGGTCGTCACTACTTCGAGGACAATGCCATATTTTAGCTTTGATTAGTCTTAAAGACAATATGTTCATTTCCTTTCATTTGAGTACTAAAGATTGTATAGCCTCTAAGTGGCTTTTATGGTATTGATGTATGGGATATGACCAGTTGTCACACTCTTTTTTTAGATGGTTATGATATGAGACATCCGGTTTTAAGACAATATTATATTCTATATATGTATATGTCCAATAAAAGTAGAAGACTTGCAATCTTCTTATACGAAGGGTCTATGTGTACTCGACATAAATATATATATATATTATGTGTATGTGAGAGCTCTATGTAAACCTCATGATAGATAGAAGAAACATTTTAAATTTTTCGCGTTTTTAACCTATGAAAGTAATGATGTAAGCTAAGAGGCTAGTCTCAATGCTCGATGAGGATTATAACGTCGGTTATGTCCAAGGGGTGCTCCCCGGATTTGACACATTGACTCCTAAACATGCTTACACCTTCATTCATCATAATCCACACACTATCGTGCTTCACACACGATCATGCTTCATTTATACATATACTTCATTTAGACATGATATCTTCAAGTCGCACATTAACAACTTCACAAGAGCACCACATGGATATTTTTAAAAATCATCACTTCTCACTTCACATGCTATGCATTTATGGCTATAACCATAATAAAATTATTCATACATACATACATACATATATATATATATATATATATATATATATATATATACACCGCCACAAAAGGTTGACCATACCACTCAAGAGCATTACACAATAAGAAATAAACAATATAACCAACTTACCACTCATCCAAGCCTTTGATACCTTTTCTCAATTTCTCCAATAATTCATCATAAAATAGAATTTAAGGAAGTAGCTAATCATAATATAACATAAAAAAATATAACTCTAACATTATCTAGATATATACACTAAACCCATTTCATAAGCTAAAAGTTGGAAATATGCATGAGCATGAGTTATTTTGGTTTTGACATTAAAATCATCAACTAAAACTAAAAACAACACATTTCAATCATTAAAATATTTTCATGCAAAGACCCATGCTTAGAGTAAAAGATAGAAGAAGTTGGAGTTTGAAAACCCATTTTGAAATCTCTTTGGAATGTCTCCTTGAATAAAATAAGGTTAAAGGATGAACTACCATACCTCTATATGAATAAACCCACTAATCTTTGTAAAAAAAACTTCCAAGACCTTTACTTATATCCCTTCCTTGAGTTTAAGCTTCTATGGAGTTTGAGAGAGTTCTTTCTTGAGGGATGGATTTTTTATTTTTGAAAATGAACTCTAACCTAGGTCTAGGAGTATAAATCGACTTAAAATACTGTAAAGACCCTAAAGGGTAAATTTACAAAAATACCCCAAGCTTGGCCTTTTTTTTGACAGCTTTTGCAGGTTCCAAACGACGGCCCCTAGCTATTGGGGTCGTTTTATCAACGGACCATCCTGCTGGGGCATCGATTGGGTCAGAGACAGGATTCATGGGGGCTAATATCCCACCACTAACTGTGGGGATACTCCCCCAAACGACAGAGCATTGTTCATCCTTCTGTCCGTAGGTGAGGGGCATTGATTGGACAGCTTTGGCAGTTTTGTTGCCGTGTCTCGGGTCCTCTTCTAGGGTCCCTTGTGGGTCCTAAGGTGGAGTCGTACCCTTGATTTAAACCGCTAAACATGGTAATATAGGTCTTAGGTTCCTCCTACATCAATTTGGACTTCAAACATGTCAACGCACACAAGAACTCACATAAGCACATAGACATCTAGTCATCGAACGTCTTGGTCGTCCCTTGACATTTGAACCCCCAAACATACTAAACTGACTTCAACCATAAAAATTAGTTATTTGAACACACTATTAACTCATTAAACACTAATGAAACTCTATTTCAACCTACTTCATTATGAGGGTCTTTACAAAGGATCACAATAACAATATAGAAAACTCAATACTCATAGAGAAGAGAATTATGGATTAAGAGGTGAAAATCGGATTGTCTTTTTTGTAACTAACGGTTTTATTAATCACCAATGTAAAACAATTACAATATCGATATCTAACTACACTAAACACAGTTAGCTATCCAATACATCAAAGAGATCCTACTTACTAACAACTAAATCTGAAAGCAGACATGAGAGGATTAATCCTAGATGGGGCTCGAACACTACAAACAAAAGCTATCTCGCTAGCAATGGCATTTGACTCTCAAATCTTTTTTCCAAAATTTTCAGATTTCTCTCTATCAAGAAACAGTGTACAAACTCTAGGTGTGTTTGGTATGGAGGAAAATATTTTCCATGGAAAATGTTTTCCTAGAAAATGTTTTCCCGGAAAACAAGTAGATTTTGAACTTATTTTCTCAGGTTTGGTTGGTGAGTAGAAAATATTTTCTGGAAATGACTTTTAGTTTTCGATTTATAAATGAAAAATATTTTTTAGAGACATTTTTTATTTTTACTAGAGTAAAAAATAATTTATGACATTGAAAATTATTTTCAAAATCAAAATTATTATTTTTTTGGGTGGTGGTGGGGGGTGGGGTGGGGGCGGGGAGAGGGGGAGGGTAGGGGATAGGAGTGAAAAAATAAAAAATTGAAGTTGATAGTATTTTTAAAAAAACAAAATTAATTTTTTGGGGGATCGGGGTGGGTGGGGGCTGGCCGGGAGGGGGGGAGGGGTAGGAGTTTTAAAAATAAAAATTTGAAGTTGAAAATATTTTTAAAAAGCAAAATTAATTTTTTGGGGAGGGGTTGGGGTTGGGGGGGCTGGCCGGTGGCAGTAGGGACAAGCAGTAGGTGAAAAAATAAAATTTTGAAATTGAAAATATTTATTTAAATCGATGTTTTTCCCTAAAAAAAGTAATTTGAAATTGGATGAGAGTTATGGAAAATATTTTCCTTCATTTTTTAAGGGAAGTCATTTTCCTTAATTTTGAAGAAAATGAGTTGATTTGGAAAACATTTTCCGAAACTTTTGTTCCAATCAAACAAACACACTCTCTGTGTACACCAAATTTGAAGATTTGAGTTGCTTGTGTCTTTCCCTTCACACACTTTAGCACTTCTGTACGATGTTGTTCCCGTGACAGGGATTGAATTGGCTTAGCTTGGATTTGCTGCTGCTACATAAACACAAAAAGTGAAAATATCATACCAACACTCATTGTGCAAATTGAATAGGGGGAATATTGGAGACAGGGATACCCCCCACTTGAATAGATATTAGTAGTCAACAACTTATTCTGCACTTGTAACCACATTGTAAATCTTGCTCTTGGCCTCGTATTTTTGTACATTAAGTTCCTCCATATTACTATGTGTTTTGGGTTCATCAGATGCATGTGTAGTTGCCTTATTAGACTACGCCTGCTTGATTCATCCACCTGGAGTCGATCAAATGTAGTTCTAGCTTCAATTATTTTTTCGTATCATCCAACACGCTTGTGTAGGTACCCTTATTGTCTCAAGTTGTTGCCCTTTTATATAATAACTATGAACCCACCTTAGCCAGAGCTTGTCCTCTGTTTTTGCCAATGCCCAATGAGTTTTAGAAATTGCTATTGTATTCCATACATTGACATTAGTCAATTTTATCCCTCCAAAATAGAAAGGATTAAAAACTTATTCCATGCTACCAATGCATTCTTGGTGATACTATTACTTGCAGATCATAGGTAAGTTCTACAATAGCAGTCAATTAATTTTATTACCTTAGTAGGAAGGAAAATAGTTGAGACCAGTATGCTTGGATGCCAAATAGCACAGATTGGACAAGTTGTGTTCTGCAAGCATAGGAGAGTTTCTTTGAAGTCCATGATGAAATTCTAGTTATCATCTTTGTGATCAGCGGGAACCATTGGATTAAAGAAATCTTCATGGTGGATAGAGGGACTCCGAGGTCTTTGAATAGGAGATCTCCACTGGTGAAACCAGTACTATGCATAATTTGTTACTTTTATTGTGAAGTTACCCCTCCAAAATATATGCAGCTTTCCCCGATTTGTGCTTGAAGACCTGAAGCCCTTGAGAATAGTCGAAAACATTCCATCATAGCTTGGACAGAAGTGTTATCACCTCCAGAAAACATGCGTAGATCATCCACAAAGCATTGATGAGTGATTTGGAGTTTAGCACATCTATGATGGAATTTAAATTGCTTTACTCCTATAAGAGTGATGAGACATATACTAAGGTACTACATAGCGATCGCGAAAAGGAATAGGTACATTGGGTCGCCCTGTCTTAAACCTTTTGCTGCTGGAAATGCTTCTGTTTGTTCCCCATTTACAAGTATGGAGTAACTAACAGTTTTCAACACATTCCATAGTCCAAGAGATGAATTGATTGGGAAAATTCAACTTTTGCATCACCTGCTCCAGATATATTCGTTACATACTATCATATGTCTTTTGTAGATCAATTTTGATCATGAACCTAGGTGATACATGTTTCCTAGTATAAGACTTTACAAGCTCATGGGCTATGATGATATTTTCTCCAATTCTTTAACCAGGAACAAAACCTCCTGAGTGGGATTGATTATGGTAGAGATAACTTTTTGTAATCTAGTAGCCAAGATTTTCCCAATAATTTTATACAATACAGTGCAGGGCTATTGGTCTAGACACTTTGATGTCCATTGGGTTGGAAACTTTAGGCATAACATTAACCACAGTACAATTAATGTTCCAATATATCTTCCCTATGATAAAAAAATATTGTACAACATAAATAACAGCATCTTTAATAATGTGCCAAGCTTTCTTTACAAAACACATTGTAGCCGTCAATACCAAGGGCCTTGTATTCTCCAATTGCCTTCAAAGAATTGGCGATTTCAAGCTTTGTTACAGTGGCACATAGTTCTATCCTTCGTTGATGCAAAAAGGTAGGCCCTGCTCTCATGACAGTCTTATTAACTTCTAGAAGATTGACCGTGGATGATCCAATTAGACTTTGGTAAAATTGTACCACTTCTTGCTTGATGTCTGCTCAAGTAGCTTAATACCATTTAAGGATCTAAGATTAGTCATTTGCTTTCTAAGAATCCTCTCCTTAATGACAGATGAGAAATAGTTTGAATTCATATCTCCAAGTGTGATCTATTTTACCCTGGATTTCTGCTTCAATATGCTCTTTTCATTTCCTGACCACTTTTCGATGTACTCAAGAATGTTTTTGTCTTGGTTCTGTAATCCATTAGTGC